GTTCCCACCTGACAGATGGATCTTATTACGTTTCATCTCGTGTGAAACTGTAGAGTATGGCATGTTGCAGTCTGATGTCTATATAGCCAAGTCAAGTGCCTCTGTACTGCGCACTAAGATTGCGACGAGTCATAAATTTTGATGCACGGACAGCGGCAGCACGATATGACATCCGAATCGAAATGCTTGGACACAGGTCACACTCTGGGCAATGATGAAATGGTCAATATGTGCTAGTGCAGCGAACGAGTGATCAAGGAGATCATAAATAGTTACACAGGACTGACTGCCTGGTGGTTCCATATACATGGGAATTCGCGCTTACCTCTCGGAGAAGAGGTGCTCGGAGCGGCTCTGGCGTACATTTTGATTCAAATAGCCTGCAGTTAATATAAAAGATGGCACTTACAGCACACACACCAACGATAAATCAGTTCCACTGTGTTTTCACTTCTGTTTTACGTTATGTTGTGAATTTATCAATGTTATTGGCCTGCTCATCTTATGTATAAATTCTCCGTCGTGGCGTCTTTTATGCTTGTACCACAAGTGGACCAACTCCGCTCTACTGACACTTCATTTCATGCATCGCAAATTGTATTCGCACATGTGCTTGCATTTTCACGCATTTTATATCATTTTGTGCCATCTCTTTCTTTGTAACCTTTGAGACCAGTTCTAGGATTTTTTGGTAACACCACACACGAATTTCTGCGACTGCTGCGGAGTATGCGCATTCCAGTGCAAAATAATAACACCCTGGACCGAGGTAGTTATAAATAAAAATAAAATAAACGTTTTATTCCTCAGCAGTGCGAGGCACAGAACAATTGGGTGGTCTTATCAACATGTACAACGTGATCGCATAATATAGTTAATTATTCGTCTTTTGATCAGTGGTTCCCATATGGTTTCTGAATTGATTAGCAGTTTGGAAAAAGTAAAGAACTGGGAACAATAATAAATGTAGATTTCACGGAAAGTTCAAGTAAAGTAATACGGTCATCCATGGAACTGTCCCCAGGGGACTTGCTTCCATGCAGGGTATTTCCACGATGGGTTTCACCCGCACTTCCATGCTCCAATTGCCTCTATGCCTGTGTGGCAAGATAGTAAATATGCCATCAGAACTAGGTATCAAATGTCTTTCTTTTTTGGGGCTGTTTAATGCATACATTATAGGCGATGAAGCCACAGCCCGTTCTGTCATGCGGATCAATCAAGTATGGCACTTTTTTGTTTTAAGCCAGCGAGTCAGTAGTAATATGATTTGCATGATTATACCTTTTTATTTTGGAAGCTTTAGTCCGTCAACACAAAAAATCAGCCCAGTCATGACCAACGGTGAAACAAAGAAGAAGATAAAGTATGAGGAAGTATAAAGCATAATGATGAATACAAGCGCTTGCCGATAGGTTAGTCACAATTTGATGAAAAATCTTGACAAGTGACCACGATGGTACAGAGACATCAGCTTGAAATGAGTAGTGCATCTACGAACCAGTGCGTTAAAGGAGAAAACAGAATTGGTTAGACGAATTGATAGGAGTAAGATCGTTCTCAAATATATTTTCAAGTGTGCAACTATATGTAGGCACAGATTAAGTTTGAGTCTGCGTAGCCATAGCGGTTCCAGATTTAGCGCCTCGCAATGCTCACGGTATGTCATAGTATTAGGCATGTTCAAAAACTTTTTTGTGAATGATCGTTGAGTGTTTTCCAGCGTTATAATATCCACTTTTCTCAGATTACTATGTACTATAGTACAGTACTCAAGTTTCGGCCTAACACATTTTAAAGGCTTGAAGCCTGGAATCCCTCAAAATAAGAGTTCGACTTATATAGGCGATCACTTTTCTGGCAGAAGCCTGCAAGAATATAACATGCTCTAAAAAGTTAAATGAGGCAGAATATCTTAGACCAAAGTCTCGGACTGCGTCACACACAGGAATAGGGGTATCGTTTAATGGAAGGATGTTCAGAGTGGGGCCACAGCCGTGGAACAACAGATTACTCTTGTCAGTGGCAAAGTGCAACTTCCAGGAGTTACTCCAGAGCTCCATTGCGGACAATTCAGACTGAATATAGGGTAAGTTAGAACTACATTGCCCAGGGGCGGAACAAAAAACAATTTTAACATCATCAGCGAAAAGGAACGGCTTCCCATACGAGATTTCATCAAGGAGATTGTTGAAATAGATTAAGAATAAAAGCGGGCCTAGCACGCTACCTTGAATCATTCCACTAGAGATTGTAATGGCTTCAGATGTGCAGTTACCGATTTTGACTACTTGCTTTCTACCCTCGAGGTAGGAAGACAACCAATCTAGAAGCGAAGTAATGATACCATAGGACATAAGCTTCCGCAACAATAAATTGTGTGGGACACGGTCAAAAGCATTTTGGATGGCAAGAAATATTACGATGATGGCACTTCCGGCGTCTCTTACTCTAGTCACAATCAAGGTAATCTAACTGACAGGTAGTGCACTACCTGCCTTTCAAAAAACCGTGCTGATGTTTACTGAGAAGGCTCATAGGACTCAAATATTCTATTATGCGTCCTTTAACTATCCTCTCCATGATTCTGGATAATAGATGTGTGGTGGATTGGGCGGTAATTTTTTACATCTTGCATAGATCCGCTTTTGTGTCTTGGTATTATAGTTGATTGTTTCTAGTGTATAGGATACTCCCCATTGAGCATGGAAAGTGTAAATATATTAAGCAAAAACAGGAGGATGTCTGGACCTCCGTGCTTGACCAGTATTGGAGGGATGTTGTCAGGGCCTGGTGAGCATGATGGCCGAACTAATCTGAGTTGACGACATATGTCACTAAGTGTAAATTCAACAGTTTGGAGTGTATTACTGCCTCTGTGTATCGGCTTAAGCTGAGGAACTTCATTCGCATTAGTGCTATAAGTAGACATAAAGTAGTCATTGAAGATAGAACATATGATTGCACCGTCGGTTATGGCAGTTCTATCAGAGTTTACAATGGTGTTTATACAACTTGATTTTCTATTCTGCCTACGGTCCAAAAGATTTGAGATGCAGCCTACCACGTTGGCGCCCTTCAGTGCCATTACTTCCTCAGAGCATAGCATTTAATGGTGATCTTTGCGTAACGCTGTAAGCAATCTGGTGTGGAGCATCAGCAGAGTAAAATCGTTTGTTTTCCTAAATTTTTTTCTTTATTTTATGAAGCTTAGTGGCTACCTTTTTTGAGATACCTGCAGGTGCGGCAGTCCTTTTCAACTTCTTGGTACGTTCTGGAGCCACAGCTTCAACACAAAGCTGAATGCGGTGGTAGAAATCGGTACAAGCAATTTGTACATTCTGTGCTAAGAAGTATGGATCCCAATATGAAGACCTTATAAGATCCGAGAAAATTGACCAATTCACAGAAGAGAATGGGTGGTAATTGATCACTGATTCTGTCGGTTTAGAAAGAATTTGGAAAGAACAACCAACGATGTTATGATCACTACCCGGCAAATTATCACTAATGTATATGGACACATGCGAACATCCCATAGTAAATATTAGATCAAGTGTGTTACCAAGCCGTGTAGGTCCTGTGACGTGCTGTACCCATCCCAGTCGACCAAGAGTAGACATAAAAGGATTGTGTTTTTGTGGTTTATTGTTAAGGGACCATGGGATTTCGGATATATTAAATTCCCCTGCGATTATTTTATTAGTGTATGAGAGGTCAGCAATAAAAGAAAACGTGTCCAAAAAGTCATCGGTCACGGTGAGTGTAGACGATGGGGGTCTGTAAATACAACCTACTAAGAGATTTGTTTTATTAATAGAAATTGTAATCCACACCGAATCAGGAAGCTTCCGTAGGAGTGATTCATTCGGAGGCAGAACCAAGTATTTGTCTTTGACGTTGATTATACAGCCACCACCTCTATCATAAAGGCGGTCATTACGAAAGATGTTATAACCCAGTATCCTGAACAATGTGTCAGACATCACTGCTGAACATCATGTTTCTGTAATTAGTACTATATCAGGAGAAGAAAGGTGAAGAATATTAAGCAGGAAGTGTAATTTATTTAACAGACTCACAGTCTGTGTGT